AGGTCTATTTTCTAAACTCCAGCATTGTGGGCGTCTGGTTGCTATGGTTTTGTCACACTTGAAAAAGCCCCATCCTCCCTCAGACGGTCATGCCCACCTGCATTTTGCCAGAAGGCGCCTCCTCCTTTTTCTTGTCCCCAGTGACTGCAATTGTGGCAAAGTACTGGATGACACGTTTCGTGTTCACAGTCTTCCCGGCCCCGGATTCTCCGCTATGAGGACCAAATGAGAAATCAGAATGTAAGTCAGGAGGCACTGGCCTAGCAATCAAAATTCAGCAGAAAGAAAGATACGGTATCTACATACGTAATCAGGATGGACTGGTTCTCACGATCTGTGAAGAAAGCACAGACAACGGCAAATAAACAAAAGCTCAGACACTACCAAATCTGTGCTCTTCTTTTCACAAGTCTTAAGAACTAAGTGTAAAAGGTGTGCTAATTATCACACTTGTGTCCCGCTGGTGTTATCACTCATGTGAAGGATTATGGATTATGGAATGCACAAGTTTGCTCTTTTACCAATGAGAATCAGTCAAGAAGTAGGTGGCTTCACAGTTTCATGTCCCCTTCATTCACCTGGTTCACAGTTCAAAATCCTGTCATGTTGTAAATGTTCAGGCTGCATTTCCTCTAGCGCTTGTGAAATTTCAAAGCTTACTTTTTTAATGAGATGATACAGTAGGTGTAATTAAGACGCAGAGTTGATACCTAGCTTTGATTAACTTTGAAATGGAATTAGCATCAACAAATTTAGATTTCTAGCATAGATAAATGAGCAAATTTCCCTATGCTTTTGGAATTGATGCATCATAGTCTAAATCAAATTTTCTACTTTTATCATTGCGATTATCACATGTATGCAAAACATTTCATTCCCAAGGTGCTGGCCATATGTTGCCTCTGCTATGACTCTTCAAGTGTTTTCTAGAACTTGTTGAGGCTGTGATTATGGAGACACTCACCCGTCAGCATGAACTGGTAGGCGTTGTCAGAGATGGAGAAGATGTGGGGCGGGGCCTCCTGTCGCTTTTTGCCTCGGTAGGCCGCCACCACCTCAGGGTTGTACACCGGCAGCCACTTGTAGGGGTTGACGGTGACACAGAAGAGGCCCGAGTAAGTCTGTGGGCAAAGACAAAGTTGCTCAATTAGCAATCACGTCATTACTCCAGCTAAGAAATAATGCTGGGTGAGCAAGGGGAGAGGAACTAAGAAACTGCTGGTCCTCAGAAGGTTTCATTCATTGGCTCTTTCCCCATGGGCTGGCCCATGCGGCACCAATGCTCTGGATAGCCAGCTAACGCAGTTAACCAGAGAGCTCTCTCTGCACATGCATCTTCGAAGACACCATAGTTTACAGTGCTGACATAATGAGGCATTTCAACAGCAGAAAGTACACGGATTTGATGACGTACGACAGGGGGCACTCACGTAGATCATCCAGGCTGCGTAACGCTCTTTGAGGTTGTACAGCACTGCGGGCTCGTGCAGGTGGGTCATCATGGCCATGTCCTCGATCTTGTCGTACTTGGGAGGGTTCATGGAGAAGACTTGATCTTCCTTGACTGTGACAGTCTGTTAAGAATGGAAGGATCCAGTTAATACCAACTAAGAAGCAGAAAAAGATCGTCTGTGCTTCCCCACCTGTCACCCTCTCGGTTTGACTCACAGCTCCACCTTCGGTCTTGGCCGTCACCTTCCCCCCTTCCCTGCTCTGCACCGTGGCTTTCACATAGGACTCCTTAGGGTCCACCACGAACACGGACGACTTGGCATCAAAAGGCTTGTTCTGAGCCTCGATCCGCTCCTTTTCAGACTTTCGGAGGTAAGGAGCAGCCTCCCCGAAAACGGCCATCTCGGCGTCGGAACTCATGGCTGCGGGCTATGGGTGCACCTAGGGGAAGAAATGGACATGAATGACCACCCCGGCCCGTGGGTTTCACTTTAACAGGCTTTGCTTACTCACTCTCCTCTTCCTCCTGTGGACTGTGCCGGGGAGCTAAGCGAAGACAAGGGTACCTAACAGCCCTGTGTGGGCCGTTTAATTTTCCTGACGTTAAGTTTTGGTTCATCCTTCCCTATTGTAAACCACAGTCGAGAGATGTGGAGGGATGGATACCCATCCAACTGCACTTGTCAGGCTACAAGAGTGTTCAGAATCTTTGTTTCTGTGCTTTTCGGTTTTTGTTTGTTTGTTTGTTTTTTACCCCATTTCCTTTTCCTACCCTGTCCCATGTGTTTGTTTGTTTGACATTGTGGTGAAACAAAGAAATGGAAAATAGTTTTTCTAACCTTATTGTGTTAATGAATCTATTTTTAAAAACCCAAATATTGCTGAGTGTGGTGGCACACACCTTTAACCCCAGCACTTGGGAGGCAGAGGCAGGCAAAACTCTTTGACATCAGCCTGGTCTACATAGTTCCAGGACAGCCAGAGCTAAGTAATAGATTCTGTCTCAAAAAAATTTTTTTAGCTATTTTCCTCTATCTATCACAAACTATGTGTAAAATAAACTGAGTATAAAAATTATTGTTTGTATGTAAGAAGAAAATCTAAATTCAGGTTGAATATTTAATACATATAAACTCCTAGTTAACTGGCAACTATTAGGTAAGTAAAGGAAAAAATAAACATGATGGATATTAATAAAATATTAGCACAAGGAAAGCTGTAAATAACAACAGACTATCTTGTTCCCGGGCAAAACCAAGTCCCTTCTGTCAGTTTTTAAACTCTGCACAAGTTGTCACTGTTATCCAAGCAAAAATAACTCCAAAGGATTACTTGAGAAAACCAGGTACCTGGATTTTAATAAGACTCCCTGGTGGTCACATTAGTCTGCACTTCCCTGAGTTTTCACTGGTTTCAGCATCCCAGATTGGCCCTTACTGTGTTAGGCTTACGACATCTCTCTCTTTCTCCTGCCTCCTCTTAGAAAACATCACATTTCTAATTTCTCTCCTGAGACTAACAGCCAGTATGAAGTTTCAAGCCAAAACTAACTGACATTTTTTTTAAATCAACTGACAATTCCTGGTCAAATACAACTCCTTGTCTGGCCAGAGTAAAAGCCTCCGTGGAGTGGAGGAGGGGATGGTACAGAGAGCAGTATGTTGTTTGCTAGGGTCAATGATGACAAGAACAAGCTTAACCTTTTGTAGACTTTCCAGAAAGAGTCTTGGTCTCTTGTTATACACAGTGATCTTCTCAATTTGGAGTTGGATATGAAATCTCCCACATACTGTAGCTTACTTAGAATCAGTGAAAGACTTATGGTGAGACACGGAAGCTAAGACATGTTTTCAAGGGACAGATATTGAAACATTGGATATTAGCATTTGTCTCTTCAAATGCTGTTTTATGACATTGTTTTTGCGTTTTTCCATGAAGCACTTTAAAATCAGCTACACACTGTACCTTAATGATTGCTGCTAAGCAGTAGATCCTGAAAGGACATCATCTCTCTACTCCTGTCTCAGTGGTCCTTTGTCACCTTTGTCACAAGCCTTCAAGAAGCCTCTGATTTGGTGTGTGGTGTTGGGATCTGTCCACACAGTAGTAATTGCCTCCAGTGTCAACCAGTGACATTTATTTCCTTGGAAGCAATACATTCTCTACCTTTTTTTTCTAAATTGTTATTACCTATTATGTTAAATATAAACTCTTTAAAATCAATTATTTAATACATGGTAGGTTTTCTTTATTCTATATGTTCTTCCCAAGATTCTTAATCACACCTCTGCACTTGCATACGATGGGGGACCCACTGAGTGCTTTGATTTGGTGGAAGAGTCCTTGGCAACCATGGCACCTAGGGGCTTAGGTTCTAGATAGTAACAGCCAGGGGACGTTAGCAGCTGACTGGAATCTGTCCTTCTGGTTTTACTGATGAGGAAACTAAGGTTCAGCAAGGTAAAGGGTCATCTAGGATCACCAAGGTGGTAAGTGACAGTGGAGAGCTATGAGCTCGGCTATCTAAATCCAGGTCTAGTGTTAATTCCCTTGCAACACATGTGTTTGAAGACACGGAAAAGCTAGCAGGCTTGACCCTGGGAGCTGGAGTCAGTGAAAAGCCTGCACTGGCACCTGGAAATTTTGACTTCTGGAACAGTACTTTTTATTTTAGCATGTAGCCTCTTTTATTGGTTAAACTGTTCACATTCAATATTCAATATTCATGAGGGTTGCTTTCTTAATGAAGTTCCAACAAAATGTAAAAGAGAAATTGCATAAAATTCTGTTTGAGTAAAGTCAAAGTTTTATGAGAAGCTGATTTTAAAGACCAGTTGCTCCTATGCCCAATTATACACTAGAAAATAAATAGTCACTCATTAAACTGTAACACTAGAGAGAGCCCTTTGTTCTTTGGAGGGTAGTAATAAATTTCTCTTACCTCTTGTGTTACCAGATGAAGAAGGAGGCAAGCTTGAGGCAGTCAAGTACTGTTGAAAGAAAAAACAGAGATGCTGGGCATTTTCTTTTCTTTCTTTTTTTTTTCCCCATTTAATCACAAATACTAGAACTGTACTGTATGCAATGTCTTTTTCAGGGATGTTGACAGTAAAGCTTGGGGAGGGATAGCAATCTCCCTTAAATGAGAACTCACTCACATCAGGGGTGCAGAGCTAGCTGTGTATTCTGCCACACATACATACCTTTAAGGATTTGAGGAAGGACGGGACAGAGGCACCCCAGCTCCACTTTTATAGAGACCGTTCTGCAAACACAGCAGCCACCTCAGCTGTCCTAGCTGGGGACCTACTTGGCCAAACCATTTTTGGCAATCTCTTTGCACAATATTCACTGACTGTGGCTGTGAATGGATATAATTAGAAATATTTCTTGCCACCTATAAATAATTTGACAGAGGATGATCTAGGGTTCTTTATAGGCATTTGATAGGGGATGGGGATCCAGGGCTTTCAGAGGCTGTTGCTCCGGCTTGGATGTTGTATCATTCATCACGGAATTCAAAGCCAGGTTCCTACTTACTCTCGTGCCTATAAAGCTGTTTTGACAGGATGAGCCTGACGTGAGGGGAGGAGGACTAATTGATCTGTTAGTGCTTGGAGCCATGAAGGAGTCTGGATTGAACTTCAGCTCTGCCGCTGTGTTTGGAAGCACTGAGTGATGGATATTAAGATAAAATTCCTAGGCAAGGCTGGGTGTTAGAAAGATGGGTGATAGATTCTTTTGAAGTCTGAAAAGTCTGAACACGAAGGAGAAAGCGAAATCTTAGGTTAGGCAGTGGTGATGGGCAAAGCAGTGAGGCAAGGCAGGGTTAGAATGGATAAAAACTCTGCTCCCTTTCTGGAGGATTTGCCGTGGATGTCTCCCACTCATGTTTCCACAGCAGGGGCAACAGGCTCCTGTGTGATGCCCCATGCATGTTTCTACTGCATCGTGGAAGGAGGAGATGCAAACACAAGTTCCTAGGGCATGGGCAAATGCTCAAGGCTAGCTGTAGCTCCAATGAGGTGGGTACTACATACTTTTACTTAAGGTGGGAGGGAAGGCATGCTGTCCACAAAACTCTCCCCGTAGACAGAGAAGGTGGGTGGGTGGCCTCCACACGTGCCCTTGAAAGGCAGAAATTGGGTTTGGCTAACTTGATACAGGCACAGCTGTTGCCGAATATGACAGGAAATCTACTCACTCTGACTGCCCCTGTGATCTGGCGTGGTATTTTCAACTGTCGCCTCCTGACTTAAATTGCTAATTCAGGAGGTGGCCATTTTATAATCCTGTTATGTAGAATTTGTGTTTTACATGCCGGCAGGCTAAATCTTTTATGCTTTTAAATCGTCTTTGGATGTAATGCTATGAAATAAGTGATCAGGGTATTTTGTTGTTGTTGTTTTGTTTTTTTTCTTTTTTAACCTTCATGGCAGTGACCCACACAAGTAAGCAGCTTACTCAAAGTGTTAGGCTCTATACCACCAAGAAAATTGTTCTGATTCTGAGATTTTCACAACTCACTTTTCACACCTCTTTTGGAAGTTTTGATCACTGTTATAGATATAATAACTATTTATTAAATCTATTTGGAGCTGGAAGATGAAAGAAGAAAATCTGAATGAGACCAAGGCAGAGAGTACATTAGTAGCTAAAAGAGACAGACTGTGTGCCTAAGTATCAGACCTTTAATTAGTTACAATCTTGAGAACCCTGAAACACGACAATGACAACATAGTGGCAACCAGCAGGGACCACAATAGTAGACATCAGAGAACACCATGGAGTGTGGGCAGGGCGAGGAGAAGAGACACTGAAGGAGGATGGAGACAACACGTTTGGGCTTGCTTGTCTAAGGGGTGTCTAAACAGAGAACACAGAAAATTCACCTGAGCTCCCTTGTACTCAGGAGGTTCCTTCTGACTACTTACGTGTGGGAAGGACCGCCTTATTCCAAAATAGAATATATTTTGGATGCATTCTTCAATAGCCTGATAAACACTTTTTGCTGGCAATTTTTCTCCCATTATCCTCACAGATGAGCAAATACATGTTTCTGAGGCTTTGTAATTTTTTTTATCCATTGCAAACAAATCTGGGAGAAATTTAACAGTTTTAACCTCACATGATCATAAAAGTTAATTACATATTATACATTATTGTGTTAAACTATATCATTATGTGTGAATTGCTATACCTTCTCTTTCCTGCACACACTTCTGTAATCAAACGCTCAGGACAGGGTCACTAGGGGGCGCTAAGGTACACATTCCTCCTTTAGGGAGGCAGGTCACAGCTGTACCGGGATTCCTGAATCTTCAAAGGAGTTAAAGAGGTCGTAAAGGACTTTAAATTTTGTAACAGAGTTGAAACCTGGACCTAAGATATTCATAGCCTAGTTTCTATCGTGTCCAGCCATGACAGCACACCAATAAAGCTTCTTCAAATCCAGCAAACTCAATTGGTATTTGTTTTCTTTTAACTTGCTCTGAGACTCCCACCATCATCACTGCTGGGGAAAGTTATGGATCCATTCTTACGTCAGTCATTAATTGCGATCTCCGTTCTTCTTCCAACACATGGTGTCTTGCCTTGGCTTCCAGTTTGCTTCCCCTTTCCCTGTTCTGCCATGTTAGGTGTGTACTGCTGTCATATTATGTTTTTGACTCTGAGAGGCAAGATCGTAGGCTCTCATAATTCTCCTTCAGACACACTTCATTTGATGGACCCTTCCCCCACCCTTCTCCTTCCCCTTTCCCATCACTCAGCTTGATATGTTGCTACAACGTCCTATTGCACATACCAGAAATTGACATTTCCAAAGCCAGGAAGCAATAAACTAAAACCACGACACGCAGAACTATGAAAAATACATGAGTCTGAAAGACAGAAATATGTCCAGACTTGCGTTCTTGTGTTGCTGGATATAAATGGGAAAATTCTATCTTGGTGACATAACATCATTTGGCCCCAACACGTGCAGGACTTTTACTCACTCATCACTTCCTTGCTTCTCTACACCTTTCTTCTTCTTCCTCCACTAGGAGAAGCACCTGCTGGGTGTTATAATTAACTCTTAGGCACAGAGCTTAGTAAAATATCTCTCAGGAGGGGAAGAAGGGGATGCTTCAACTTTCTGTCACAACCCTGGTCTGCTTCATTCTTTAGGGCCCCACCGATTTGGGGGGTTGTGTGGTATTTGAGAGATTTATCTTATTTCCTCCTCATTGTCTGACGTTTCAGACTTGAGGAATCATATGCTGTCCTCACTATTCAGGCAACATTAATAATGAGTGTTTGAGAATCTAATTCCTCTTGTATTGATGAATTATAATGAAAATAAATCAGCAGATAATTTTAATTATAGCTGCTGTCCCCTTAAATCCTCACCTGCTTAATTTCAGTGACAGCAAGGTTCTCTTTGTTGTGTTGCTATAGGAGGAGGCCTTGGAGGTTTTAAAAGCCACAGTAACTTTTAGGATTTATTTTTCTCTTTGAGTTTTGGGTATGGCGCTAGGACACCTTTAATGCAAAAAAAAAAAAAAAAAGGACTAGGGAGCCACTGCCACAACTGTTGGCAGCTGGCTACCACCACAGAATTGGAAGGAGAGTACACTATATCCCCAGTGTCAGGATATCCATGAGGAACGGCTGTAAAGAGATAGGATATACTGCAAGGAGAAATGGAGTCAATATTTTAGTTTTCATGTACCAGTTGTTTGTGGATATGTTGGGAGTCTATAAGTTTACTGTGCAAATGGTTGCCAATTGGTTAAAAGTGTTGAAACTAAGAAAATATTAAAGAAAAATGGATTTTTCTTAAAGGTATGTTGCATTTGGAGAAAATTCAAAAATAAAATATGACTAAACACAGCTACCTTTATTGAAACAAGTAAAACAGATGTCAGTCTAAAATTTGGACTTGTCTGGAGTAACAGAACAGAGACATGGATGTCACGACTTAAGAGGAGAGGTGAGTTAGGATGGAGCAGGAGAGAGAAGACAAGCAGTTATAACTGAATGAGAGAGAAGATGTGGTAATTTGGGGAAGGAGGGAAAGAGAGAGCAAGTGAGAGAGAAGATAGTGTAATAAAGGGGGTTAGAGATGAAACAGGGCAGAAAGTGAATAGGAGCGGCCAGCTGGAATGACTGGACGACCGAGAGGAACCAATTCAGTAGCTGAGGAGGTGAGGTAAAATAGACGTGAGCAAGACAGCAAGCCTGGATGAGGAAATGAGATGCCAGCAAGCAGTCACTGCACTTGGGTGGTATGCTAGGATGTGCAAGTGAGTGGAAGCCATAGGACAGAACAAAATAGATGGAGAGGAAAGATGAGATGGCTTAGAATGCCTGAATAGTAGAGAGGAGACTAGATATAATACACCAAACCAAGAGATGGGACAGGATCCAACAATAGAACAGGAGAGACAAGAGAGGATCTGTGGTTGGGCCTGGAAAGAAAAGCAGGATGGAAGACACAATCAGATTAGGGTGGAGTAACTCAACTGGATGAAATTGGAAGCAAGAGCCAAACAGAAAAAAAGCATCCAAGTATCAGTACCTGCTTTAAACTCTATGATAGGACAAGAAAGATCCCAAGCCTGCACACATGAGGCTTACATTTTCATGTGGTGGAAATATATCATCTATAGTTTTCAGTATATGAGCAATAAACAAAGAAACACATGACTGGGAGATATAAACTCCTCTTTAAATGTTTTATTTTAAATGTATGGTGTTTTGCCTGCGTGTGTATCTGGGTACTATGTGTGTGCTTAGTGCCCTCAGAAACCATAAGATGATAGCAGATCTCCTGAAATTGCAGTTAGAGATGGTTGTAGTCTGCCAGGTAGGTGTTTGGAATTGAAATCAGGTCCTCTGGAGGAGCAGCCAGCTATGCCATCAACTCTATAGCCTGAGTTATGAACTATTCTTCAGTGTGTACTAAGATTTTCTTAAAGAAATGTGATTCAAGTAAGACTTTGAAGATGCTTAAATCTTAACTTCTACCTTAGTTACTTTTCTGTTGCTGTGACAAAACCCCAATGGCCAAGGTCATTTATAAAACAACTATTTAATTTGACTAATGGTTTTTGAGAGTCCATGATGGTGGAGTGAAGGAACAGCTGAGAGTTCACATCTTGATCTATAACTGTGAGGTAGACAGAGCTATCTGGGAGTGGTATTGACTTTTGAAGTCTCAAAGCCCACCTCCACTGACACATCTCCCACAAGGCCACACTTCCTCATCCTTCCCAAACAGTTCCACCGGCTGGTGAACAAGCTTTCAAATTTATGAGCCAATTCCATCCATTCTTATTCAAACAATCACAGCTTGTCAAAGCATCAGGGTAAGAGGCAATGAAGGTTTCTTGAAGATGAAGAAACATGATGTGCTAAGTCCCTAATCGATGGACCTGAAAAGTTAGTGCAGCTGAGTCATAAAGATGGAAGAGGAGAGTATCACCAGCAAAGTAAGCAGTCAAGGACTCTTTTTGTGAAGAGCAAAGGGGTGGTTTTAAACTAGAAAGTGATGTCAAATGTGATTAACCAGTTTCCGTCTACAGCTGCCTGCTGTCAGGTAGTCTCCACTATTATGGATTCTTAACTTTGTGGAATCATAAGTCAAAATAGACTTTCCTTTCAGTTGGTTCTGGTCATGGTATTTTGTCACAGCAATAGAAAACCAACTAATAGAGAACTTGATTTATTAGGTACGGGAAAAAATGAAAAGAAAATATAGATCTTGAGCATGAGCAACTGTTGTCTTTCACTGTGGTAGAATATGGTATTAGATACAATCACGGTCTGAAGACAACAGAGAAAGGGCATGAATTCATTTTGTCTATTTTAGGTTTAGAATGACTATTAGCAGAGATTGAGCCTGGATCTCAGAAGAAGAAAGAATTAGATATAAATTCACTTAGGGAGAAGAATGAAAGTGAAAATGGAGGGGGCTTTGCAGCATCAATTCCATCCTGAGATGCAGAGTGTGATGCCTACGAAAACACACTGAATGAATTTGGTTGTGTATGGTGTTATAGTGTATCACTGTGTATGGGGCTGATGCCACAAATTGTTTTGAAATATAAAGACAAGGAGAAGCTTTCTTGGAGCATACATTCATAATTACTACTTAAAAGATGTATTTTACCATGTGAAAGCATCAGAATTCAGCCAATACTCATACTGAGAAAATAAAGGCTGAATTTTACTCCTATGGGTTTGAAAACAACCTACAGGGGGAGGGAGATATTATCCAAAACACATCCTATATCTTTTTCCAATTTAATCTCATTATATTGATTCTTCTGAATGGCAATAGAATGAATATGAACCCTAGAATCAGGATCTGGTTCAAACAGCTCAATTTCTTTACTTGTAAAAGGGAAAAAATACTATCATTTCACTGAATTATTGTAAGAAGTAAACCTTTGATAAAGTAGTCAGAAGAGTACCTGCCATAGAATAAGACTGTAGCAGCATTCACTTCCATACTAATTAGTCATTCACCCCATATCAACCCATTAACCCATTAAATTATGTCATATTTACAATTATTTTTAAAAAATTGAAGGGCCTAAAATGTGACTTGAGTCTATCACACTGAGTTTCCAGGAGCATCTGGAGATTTGGCAAAGGAAGATGATAAACTGACGAAGAAGAGAGAAAGGCTGTCCAGAGACACAAAGATGGCCAGAGGAGATTGGAGTCTTAGACACCAGAGAAAACAACCATCCAATAGGAAAAGACGGTCAGAGGCATTCCATCTTGGTGAGAAGAGTCAAGTTAATTAAGGACACAGTGTTTGGTTTTGAATAAGAGATCATCAAGGATCATAGAGACATAATTGAAGGAGAGCAGAGGAGCAAGAGCTAGGAGAGCAGGAGCTGAAGAGTAGGGGGAGGTAAGAACATGAATGTGACATATTGTACATACATACCCGGAAAGGAAAGCTGAGAAAATAGACAATATTTGGAGGACAGTAAGAACAAAGGAGAATTTAAAAGAATTCAGTACATTTGAAGAGATCTAGGAAGAAAATAGAAAACAAAGATACTCCACTGAATAAAACTCCCAGGAGGTTGGAAGGGCAAGTCTAGTGCCAAGTAGAGGAGGGCCCTCTAATTTGGAGAAGAGAGTTCCTTGTATGAAGGAAGAAAATGGCAGTAGAAATGTGGGGTAATTCCCACTTCTTGGCATTCATTTTCAGCCTTTCTTATTTTAAAATATTTTATTGATAACAGTTACTGACATTCAAGGTTTACAGTGTCAGCGTGATGATTTTTATATATGAAATGTATTATATATAATGCATGTCCCCATCAATTACCACACCCTAATCAATATGTTTATCATTACACATGCTGCATATTAAATCTTGAGAACATAGTCATCTCTTGAGAGCTTCATACCCTCTCACTAACATTTGTCCATTTCCCCTGACTCTCGGCCCCAGGAAATCACCACTATATTCTCTGCTTCTATGAGTTTGGCTTTTAAGATTCCATACAGAAGTGAGATCATGCAACGTGTGTCTGGCCTATTTGACTTAGCATAATGTTCTGTGTTCAGCCACTGTAGCTACAAATGGCAAGGTCTACTTTTTAATGACTAGAAATATTGCATTGTATGTTCTAGAGCAGTGTTTCTTGAATTCCCCCCTCCCTTCACTGAAAAGTGTTTACACAATACTGAATATACAGTTCAAACATCCTGTTAAAGCATTTTATGCCATTGGCACCACATTGTACATACATTTACACTGTGTATCTGTTAACAAGTTATTGCATCTGTAGATATTTTTAATACTTTTATATTTTAGCTTATTCTAGAATTAAAAGTTATGTAATCATTACACTATTAGGGTATTCAAGTGAGGAGTAGCTGCTCACACCTCTAATCCCATCACTAAAGAGGCTGATGCAGGATCGCTACAAGCTTGGTGGGGCCAACCTGGGCTACAGTGTGAGACCCTGTCTCAAGAAACAAATACAAACAACAATATTAGGGTGTTCTGATGACTGTGTACTTACCTTAAGCTGTGAGTTTATAGTTTTAGGTCTCCATGTTGTGACTTAGAGTTCTTTAATTTTAATGGGAAGGACTCTCTTCATGATTTCTTGTAAGATAGCTCTTACAGTGATGAATTCTTTCAACTCTTGTCTTCCTAGAAAAGTCTTTAAAAAAAAAAAAAAGAAAGAAAGGTCTTTCTTTCCACTCAATTCTGAAGGATGGTATTTCTGCGTACAGCATTCTTGCCTGGTGGTTCTTTTAGAACTCTGAGTATGCTACTCCTCCACCCCCACACCCCAGCTTCTGGTTTGTGGAGAAGTTCTCTGTTAGCCTCCTACAGATTTCCTCCTACAGGTCCCCAAGAGAACACTTTTCTCCTGATGCCTTTAAAACTGTTGGCAATCTGATCATAGCATGTCTTAGAGTCTCCTGTGGGTTACCCTTTCTTGGCATCCTTCAACTCTCATGGTTCTGGATCTACACCTCTCCAAAGATTTGGGGAAATTTATCCACTATATCTTTTTTTTTTTTTTTTTTTTTTTTTCGAGACAGGGTTTCTCTGCGTAGCTTTGTGCCTTTCCTGGAGCTCACTTGGTAGCCCAGGCTGGCCTCGAACTCACAGAGATCCACCTGGCTCTGCCTCCCGAGTGCTGGGATTAAAGGCATGCGCCACCACTGCCCGGCTATCCACTATATCTTTAAGGTAGCCTTTTGCTCCCTTTTCCCTCTCTTCTCTTTCTGGCACTCCCACGCTCACATATTTATATGCTTGATGGTGTTCCATAATCGCTTATGATTTCTTAGTTCTTTTTTCCTTTTTTTTCTCTTATAACTGGATACTTTCAAATGTTGTGTCTTGGAGTTCACTAATTTTTCTTTTGCATGACTGAGTTTGATGTTGGGATTGGGTCTTTCAGTTATGTCCTTGTGTTTGAGGTCCGTTCATCAGAGAACACACACAAACTTTCATGAAGCTGAAAAGGAAGTCTTTATTGCTGGCTGGTGGCTGCATGGGGAATGTTCCCAAATCATGCAGCCCCTATCCTCACAGTTCTTTGTATTTTATGTACAAAACACATCCTGGTTTACATACTTTGGTCAGCAAGAATAGTTAGGGTGAATCAAAACTACAGAAGCCAATGGCAATGGTTAGTACATGCAGGGACTTTCCTGGATCCTGGGACTATGGACCAGTCTTTGATGGACAAGGTCTTCCCATTTTTGCAGGTGTTGGAGTCCATAAGCTGGGCTTTAAGGTCAGATTGGTGCCTCTAACATGGCATCAGTTGTGCTAAGATCGGTAGACTGTTAAATTTGTATGCTCAGCTCCTCGATTTTTCTTTTGTTCTTTTTCATTGTTCCTTTTTTAAAAAATATTATTAAGCTCCTTATTTTGTTTATAAATTGTTGTCTCAATTTTGTTTAGTTGCTTACCTCTGGATTTTAAGAATGTTCTATTTTATTATTTCTTTAAGGTGATTATTTGAATTCTTTTTCATGGTCTTCATTGATCACCATTTCTCTAGTTGCTTATTGGAGCTTTATGTATTCCCTTTCCTAGTGTTGTCCTTGCTTGATCATTATCTGTGTAAACTTACATTAGTGTCTGCACACATAAAAGAATAATTACAAGTTTCAATCTTTACACATGGGCAAGACCTTACCCTGTTGCACCCCAGGGCTCAGAGGATTGCCTCTGAGTTTGTGGCTGAATGGGGTTGGAACCGGATTCCATGACTGCTTTGGGATCTGTAATATGATCTGCATTTGGCAGTTCTATTAACAGGGTCTCAAGGAGATGTGTCTTTGGGTAGACGGACTAGACCCTGGGACACTTTGTCAACAGGACTGATGCTTCAGAATTTACAGATAATAGACTTGTTGCTAACAGATATGTTTTTGAGGGTCCCTATAAAGGCTCTTCTGGGCCACTGAGTAGTTAGTTCTCTGAGAATGCAATGCCAGCACTGAATACAGGATAGAAGAGTTGGAACTGAATCACAGCTCCTTTGGGGTTCATAGCAGAAGATGGGATACCAACCTGTTTCTGCAGGCAAAGGTAGGTATGTCTCTCTGTGAGTCACTGGATACTTAGGCTGTAGCTCAGAGGTGCTGGCACTGAATTGCAGTGTTATTCCAGCATCCACAGCCAGAATGTATGTGATTGAGTCTGTCCTTCCTGCATCCCTGGGGTGTGGTTCTGGTAGCAGAATCAAAGCCAAATGAAGCTATCGCCCAGTTCAGAAGGCATAGAAATGCTTTTGGCATTTGGCCAGAAATGCTTCTGGACTTATGGCAATGTTAGTGAATCGGTCACTCAACGTGTCTACCCTTTTGAAACAGTCCTCCTAGGTTTAGACTCTATCAGGGTTTCATTTACCACCAGTAAACTGTAGCTTCTCTGTAGCACATTAATTGCTGTGGGGAGACAAGTCTGGAGCACTTCTATTATCTAGTGTCTTGATCTAATTTTTCCCTTTTACACAGAATATAAGACCATTTGTTGAGGTCAAAAAGGAAAACAGGGTTTTAAGGAGACTGGAGATTTTAAATAAGGAGCAATTTTTAAAAGGGATTTAACAAGCTTACTATATAACCCTAGCACTGAGGGGTTAGTATGCATGAATTTGTAATGGTACCATTTTCTCTCAGATGTGGAGAAGGCAACCACAGGAGTTATCACAATGACTGTCTTTCTACGTGGGTATAATGGGGAGGGGATAGAGAATGACATAGGAGTTTAGGGACATGCCAACAAAGTGATCATAAAGCTGGGTTATGAATTTTTGCTCACTTGGGAAGAGAAAGATAAAATGGTATTTGATGGATATGGGCCATGTGGGAAAGAATAAATGCCAGAGAGGCCAATGGAGGTGAAGAACTGCTATGCTTGGGATGGTCCAACA